TGCACTGGGGGAGCTTTCCAGGTCTCTTCCCGCTCCTCATATTCTGTGATTTCATGAGGAGTCATCCCTGATGCTGTCACTGCTCTCCACAGATCGTGCTGCACCGCAAGCAGGAAGTCCTGGACTGCGAGTGTGACATGGCCTCTGTGCACCACCTCCTGTCCCAGATCCCGCAGGACCTTCCTTACGAGACTCTGATCAGCAGAGCTGGTGACCTTTTTGTCCAGTTCCCCCCATCCGAACTGGCCAGGGAGGCAGCTCAGCAGCAGGCTGAACGGTGAGTGCAGGGCAGCCCGCGTGTCTGCCCGCTTTGCCCATGCCAGATCCTGCTTCCTCGCAAGGATCTTCCCCCTCAGGATGGGGCTGGTCCCAAAATTGAGCTGGGGACACCCCCTGATGCATTTTCTTCTCTTGCAGAACCGCGGCTTCCACTTTCAAGGACTTTGAGTTGGCGTCGGTGCAGCAGAGACCGGACACTGTGCTGAGGCAGCGCTTCAGGGAGCGGCACCGAGGGGAGGAGCGGACAAAATCCGTCTTGACAAAGCCAAGGACCAACCGCTTTGTCAAGCTGGCGGTGATGGGGCTGACGGTGGCGCTGGGGGCGGCCGCCCTGGCCGTGGTGAAGAGCGCGAACTGCAGATTTTCCCCTGAAGCCGGAGCCTCCCCTTGGCGCCTGGTGTCAGATGAAAGGACCTGTCCGCAAACAACCCGGCTGAAGAGCATTTGTTATCCTTGCTGCGTCCTCTGACGCTTTTGGCCTTTGCGACAGAGACCGAGGGGAGCCGGCCCTGCAGGATTGCTCCCCACACCGACACTCACCTTACTCCCTCCTCCCCGGGCAGGGGTGAGCAGACGGGCACGGCCGCTGGCCCGAGAGGAACCAGAGGTACGGACGGGTTTGGCTCTTCAGGCTGTGCCCAAACCATCCCATGTTCCCTTTTGCGGACGGTGAGCAGGAGCAGGGGCAGATCCTCGCCTGGAGGGGAGCAGGATTTGGCCTGGGGGGGTGTGTGTGTGTATATGGGGGCAAGGGGCTGTCGCACCCCTGCGGATCAGGGCAGCCCCCTGGCTCTGCGTCGCTCCCGTGTGGTGCTCCCCACCATCCGAATTCAGCTTTGCCCTCGTTCCAACCCTTCCTTCTCCAACAGCAGAGCCAAACCTTTCACGGACCCTGCCGGCGCCCTGCCGTGGGGGTGTCTCCATCTCCTAACGCTCCCTGGCTCCTCCTGCTCCCTCATTGCTGCAGCCTGGATCCGCTTCCAGAAGGAAAGCACAGGGGCAGCAGCAGACCCCTGGGGCTGCTGGAGGGGGCTCAGCTCTCAGTCGCTGGGGCTCCTGGTGCAGTCACATTGGGTGAGCGAGGTGAGAGGCGAGCGCGTTGGTGGCACCAGAAACGCCCCTCGAAGGCATCTGTAGCTCTGGACAGGCTCTACAGCAGAGAAAGGGTTTTGTCCACCCTGTGAAACGGTTTGTGCAGGGCAGAAGTCATCGCGGTAGGAAATCTGTCTGAAATCTCCACTTTGGAATAACACAAGGAGGGAGTTTCCCAAAAGTCCCCCCCCCACCCCCCTGTCTAGCCCCCATTTCACCAACAATCCCAGTGCTCCCA